CCCCAAAACCCCAAAACCCCAAAACCCCAAAACCCCAAAACCCCAAGCATATTTATATCATTTGTGGCTATATAAAATAATTTAAAAAGGAATGTTTACGAAGCTGTTGATAAAGAGACTCCCGATGGTCCGCCAAACGTTCTTCAAGCCCTTATTCCTGCACCAAGTGCACATAAGGAGCTTCTGTATGGCGTCTAGCTATCCAAAACCTTATGAGTTATCACTGAGGAAGAATTCGCATCAGTCAATTCCTCTTTTAGAAATGAGAGAACATCAAATGAACCAGATAGCAATGGAGATAAGTCAAGAAGAATTAAGCTCGATTCTTGATAACATTGATACCTCTCCATCATTATCTGTTGAACCTCTCTGGAAAGTTACCCAGATGCTTAGACATAGCGTACAAAGAAGACATCGTGTCGACATGAGCAAAATTCACTATGAGATAATGAACAGAATTATCAATATGACTGAGCACATAAGTAATTAACATTCTAATATTTTAGACAAGGAAGAACTTACTCCTAACCAAGCTATCAGGATATTTAGGATCATTACATATTTACTCATTAATGAATCAATGTACTTTAGAAAGAAAACTAGCAGGTTTACACTTGAACAGATGAACGCTCTTGATAAAGTGTGAGTAACTACCATCAGAGCGTTTCCAAACCTTCCAGCTTCTGACTACATTGGAGTTGTCATAAAACTCATGGTGAACAGGATGGATTCCTTCCGTGATGCTAGTAATAGCACATCTGTGGTTCAATGGTATTTCAGGAACATTTTTGGACGGAGAGTGACTTCATTTGACATAAATAGACTTTCTGACTTTTCCCTAACCCAGATCGTTTTGAGTATGTCCTTCCTGAACTACGATCTGTCCCAAATTGAGAGCCATTTGAAGGTGATGAAGAACAACTGCCTCAGTCGTATTAAGAAGAGAGCTGATAAAATGAATACGAAACAAGTCGTGCAGATCCTCTCAAGTCTGCTCAGAATGAAAATTATTTTCATCAAAGATTGGGAGTAAGCCTCTTTGTGCCTCTAATGCTTTTTAACTCTTAATATAGGGACATGGAGGAAGTAGTTAATGTAATTGAAGGTAAAATAGACTCTATGAACCTTCTCGATCTGCAGTCAGTTCTTAAGGGATATTCAGAAGTGTATGCCATTTATTCATACCCTCCAAAGACCAAAGATAGAATCATTCAGAAACTAAAAGAGTGCAAGGAGCCTATGACTTCCTTAATTTTGACCAACATAATGAGGTCACTCAACGCATTAAGGATCGATGACGATGAACTTTACTCTCACATCGTCATGTGTGTGAAAAGAGATTATCAAAGACTTGACAACATCGCTTTGATTTATACATTTTCCAGGCTAATTAAACTTAACCAGTTGGAAAAAGCAAAGGAGTTATTCGAATTCTATATGGAGCTAGGCACATTTGAAGAACTTGAAAACCCTCACAACATTGCGCAGATGTTGCTTTCATTCGCAATTCTTAAGATTTATGATGAGGATTTATGGAATTCATTGATAGAAAAATGTGATTACCAGAAGTTGATGAGCATTAAGCCTAGTGCAAATGATAACTTTACTATGGCATGAGAACCTGCGTTCCAGCTGCTAAAGAACGAGGCACCTGAACTTTATAAGAAGAATGAGAATTGAGCTCTTCTTCAGAGACTCAAGCAGTATCATGAAGCCCACAATGCTGAAATTACTAAGACTCAAATGACTATTTCAAGAGCATGTCAGCTATTAGGATATGAAGTAATAAATGAGACTTATATTAATGAAGTTTCTGTGGATATCTACCTTCCCAAGATCAACCTCATTATTGAATATAATGGGCCAACCCATTATATGAACGGGACGAATAAATTAGTAGGATCTTCCTTATACAAAGAAAGATTGATCAACTTCGATTGTAAAATTCTTCAATTAGGCTACTTCGAAATTTCAAAATGAAAAGATCTCAACCTCTCAAGACTCTTCTTGGGAGATGCTCCTGAATCTCTCATGAAACAAGTCAAGGAGTACGACAGAATTGCAGATTTGCTCAAAGAGAGGATTGATGCAATGGTCAGCAAATAAAACCACCAGCAGTTCAGATAATCCGTGGCCATAAGTTCACAAGGAATGTAATAATTCTCAACATTTGTTGTGATTTTCGGGGTTTTGGGGTTTTGGGGTTTTGGGGTTTTGGGGTTTTGGGG